TGATGTGTATATATTTGTAATATAATATATATTATTCAGACTTAGGAATATGTGTGTCTGTCTATATATATGCTTGTTATATATATATGTATGCTATATATATGCATATATATACATATATATATAGTTGGCTTTGTTTTGTTTGAGTCAGGGTCTCAGTCTATTGCCCATACTGGAGTGCAGTGGCATGACCATGGCACACTGCAGCCTCAACCTCCCTGGACTCAGGTGATCCTTTTGCCTCAGCCTCTCGAGCAGCTGGAATTACAGGTATGCACCACTGTGCCTGGGTAATTTTTTTGTTTTCTTGTTTGTTTGTAGAGACAGGGTTTTAGCATGTTGCCTAAACTGGTATTGAACTCCTGGGCTTAAGTGATCCACCTGCCTTAAGCCCCAAAGAGGTTGAGATTACAGCCAACTGTAATTATTTCAGTAAAAATAATGTTTTGTGAAAAAGTCATGAGTTTAGTCACAATTTAAACTATTGCACAGTGGCTACTGTGACAGTTTGTTGCCACTGAATTGATGCATATTACATCACTAGCAGCGTTACCTGGTTATTACTTTGCAATATCCATGCAAATAAAACAGTTAAAAAGTCAAATAGCATTACAGTACTGTAATAAAAATAGTTTGACCTTGTCGAGCCCCTGAAAAAGATTTGAGAGCACAAGAGATCAGCAGACCATACTTTGAGGATTACTGGTTTAGTGTATTGTTGTAATGGGATATTACTCAGCAATGAAAATGTGTAAAATAAAGATGCAGAAAACTCAATCTCCTGACTATAATTTTGAAAAAAAATGAAGCAATGCCTACATAACACATACAGTTAATTTTAATCAGCTAACTTTCTGAAATGGGTAAAACAGAACTGTTTAGGGATGCATAGATGTGATAAAACCAAAGAAACACTGAGGTGCCTGCTTATCACTAAAGTCCTACCAGTAGCTACCTCCCATGAAGGGATACTGCTGTAATTGGGGAGGAGCAGATGATGGGCTTCTGGGAGCTCATTTATTTCTGATCTATTTCTGGATTTGAGTGGTTTCATAGTTGTTTATCTTGTAATAATTTCTCAAACTGTACATATTTCATTTACCTTTCTGTATTGATATCACGTCAAAATTAAGTAACAAAACTGATGAATTAACATTTATTCTGGCTTGTATTTCTTTTCTAAACTTGGTTAGTGCCAAAGAAGAGTCTAGTTCTAGTCAGATTCTCCCCCATCCCTTATTAAATGGTTTATTTTTCCCCTAGAGATGTGAAAAGCCACCTGAGAATGTTCATGTTCTTTATAACTTGTCTCTCTATATCCATGTGCCACCCTCACTTTGTACGAAATAAAATTTCTTCTACTTATGATGCTCAATTTACTTGATTTTTTTCTTTGCTGGCAAGTTGTTGCTTAATTTGTTTCACCTATTATTAAATCTATGGGTCACCATTCTCCTTGTCTTTTCCAAAGATAGCATAATGAGGTGCCCTTAACCTTATCTGCCCTATAATTTGCATGCCTGAGAAAGCAGCTTACTTTTAAACCCTTCTCTAGTGACAGAATCTAAAGATGATGAGAAGGCACATCAGCTCAAGAAAAGGTACTATAGACTCTTTGTAGTTGAGGCTTGACTACTTGAAAAAATGACCTGAAGGTTCAGAATATGTACTAATTTGCAAACTAGCTGAGACAGAAATTTGGATGACACATGCAGTGAGGTTGGTGTATAGGAGCATCACTTAGCTAGAGAGAAAACTTAACGGATCACATACCATCATCATGGTACCATAATCAATGAGTCTATTATTTAGCTATATGCAGAGAAACTTCTAAATTTTTTCTGCATTTTATTGAACAGGATCTCTGAAAAGAATGTAATAGTCAGGTGCTGATAAGAAAAATGGACTCGACACATACAATTAAAAATTTAGATAATACTGCAAAAATTATTTCAACAAATGTTAAACTTACAAATGTTAACTAAAGAAAAGAGCACACTCTTTGGGAGACCAAAGCCAGTGGGTCACCTGAGTTCAGGAGTTCGAGACCAGCCTGGCCAACATGGTGAAACCTCATCTCTACTAAAAATAGAAAAATTAGCTCGGCACGGTGGCAGGTGCCTGAAATCCCAGTTACTTGGGAGTCTGAGGCAGGAGAATCGCCTGACCTCAGGAGGTGGAGATTGCAGTGAGCTGAGATTGTACCATTACACTCCAGCCTGGGCAACAAGAGTGAAACTCCATCACAAAAAAAAAAAAAAGAAAAAAAAGTACAGACTGTTTTATTTTTGGTATAGATTTTTAATTCTCACTAATTTTTTATAAAATCCATCTGGACATTACTACTAAAAAAATCTTATTTAAGAAAAGAAAAATGATGTATTTCCCTAATTATGAGAGTTTCTAGGTTACCTTGGTAGGTTTATATCCAAGCCTAATTCCTTGATTTTTACTCTCACTTAGAAATTGAAGGAAGAAACTAGACCTTGTGATTTTCCTAACACTGTTTTACTTTTGAGCAGTAACAGAGTCAGAATGTTTTAGGTTGAACTAAATGTTACTGAAGCTTTTGTTAAAAGAACAGTTTTCTAAACAATTAGCATATATTTATTGGTTTCCAGATATTAAGGACATCCATTAGTTAATTCGTTCATGCATGTAGTCATGACTGTGTTCATTCAACAATGGTTGTAACAATCAAATTAGAAAACATATAAAGGTCTTAGCAAACTAAAAGAGTACACAAATATGTATGTTATTATATCTGTATCTACATAATTAATACATATATAGTTAATGCCAGGTTAGTTGACACAGGAAACGCTATGAAGAGGCCATTGACAATTTGGTCAGAGCAAAACATGGCTAGTTATTGACTCTTACATCACAGGTGGAATTGCTGTAGTTGAGGAGGACAGAATAAAAGCAGGGAAGTAAGGACATAAAGACAGTGAGTTGAAGAACGTGTGATTTAGAAATAAGGCTATGAAAAGAATGCAATAATTAAATTTGGAAAGGCTACTATGAGGACACAGGAAAGGAATCATGAAAATATTAGGAGGAAAATAAAAGTTTTCAGGGATGTAGTGTTTGCTGTGAAAAAGTCACATATTGTGGTTCTGGAATAAGCCAGGTAAATGTGGATCTCTGATAGTCACTAAAAACATTTTCTTCAAAAAGAAATATTTTCTGTATATACAAAAATGTCACTGAATCATTTAATATTTTGCCACTATAAAATCTATAGTATACGTGAAAAAATACATTATAACAAAAAAAGTATTTTGTTTAAAATTATACAATTAGAAATAGAATCTGATTAAATAATTACTTGATAATTTTTTGACACTAAAATTTTAGATGATGCTGAGAATAAAAGCTCAGATAGAACTAGTGAATTTCAGTATTAGTAAATCAGGAGGTAAGAAAAAAGTTATAATTCTTATGAGGTAACATCTGGTTCAGGGTTGAAGCTAGAAATTCTTAGCCTTTTTAAAAATAGAATATTCTCAGTATTTTAAGTTTCTATTGAACATCAACTTGTATATTTTAATGTCAATAAAGCTATTAGATACATATTTTTTGAAAACTTTTCTGTGTTGAGTGTAAATATTCATAAGTCAAGAATACAGCTTGAAAACAAGAAAACATACTTTGTATTCTTGTTATATTTTAAAATTGAGAAATAAGATGTTTAAGGAAAGTATTTAACAGTTAACCCAACCTCCATTCTAGAGTTGAATTTTTTTCCTACCATCCATTTTTTAATAATATTGATTCCTTCTGTTTGTTGTCTGATGAATGTAATAATCTCAAGTCTTGTAAGGATGGACTGTAAATCCAACAAACTGAAAAACTGCTGACTTTGAGCTGGGGAGCAATAAAGTTAATAGCTGTGTATTCTAAATTTGACAAAATGATGTGTATCACTATCAGAAATAAATACAAAGTTTCTTAAATCAGAGTGTACGAAGTAACTAGATTTGGCATGCACACCAATCTAAGCAGAGTCATAGGGGAAGAACACAATTGTAGCATCCATAAATAAAATATACATATAATACTGGCACTATAACATACACATTTTATGTTCTTTCCAGATGGGATGAGAACTGTTTAACAATGATTCTAAGTACAGTAGCATGACTGTCAGCATTGTTTAAGATAAAGAAACTTCAAATTTGGAATACTGAAAAAAGTGAAAACTTTATTCAACATAAAATAAATCGTTCTTCTCATGATTAGTTATCTTTGCCCTCAACTACTCTTATTCTTTTATGTATGTTTTAAACATGATCTTGCTGTGTCTCGGGCTGGAGTACAGTAATGCTATCTCAGCTAGCTGCAGCCTCATCCTCTTGGGCTCAAGTGATTCTTCTCCCTCAGCCTCCCAAATAGCTGGGACTAAAGGCAGGTTCCACCCAATCCAGCTAATTTTTGTACTTTTTGTAGAGATAGGGTCTCCCTATGTTGCTCTGGGTGGTCTCACACCCCTGGGCTCAAGCGATCCACATACCTTGGCCTCCCAAAGTGCTGGGAATAGAAGCGTGAACCAATGCATCTGGCTTAACTATTCTTAAACCTAAGTAATCCAGCTGTCCTCTTGTTTAAGTATCACATTTTGAGTACTCATTTGAGTCCTAAAGGGTTGAAAGCTTGTAAATTGCTTTTTTCACATTTCACTGATGTCTTGCAAAAACTGGGGACATCTATCTGTAACTGAACTATAATTCCCATGTGAATTCCTCTGATTTGGGAATACTATTCATAAGTAATTGTCTTGCTGTGATTTAAAAAAAAAAAACACCACTCAAGTATACACATTCTAGACATAAATGCATAAAATTTTAAAATGTGGTCCTATAATATTTCAGAGGATAGATCTTCATTTAAAAATGTTTGACAGACAACATGGGACATACATTCATATTCAGTAGTTGTAATTTTGAGAAAGAATTTGTCAGAAGTTTACCTAACACCAGTTATAAATTATTTTACTTTTGGAGGCAATACAACACTTGATCTTTAAATTTTCTCCAAATTTTTGCTTCCTACTCTTCCTGACTATCCAGGAGACAAAGTTAAACAATTAGAACTACTTGATCACTCACAGTTTCACCAAACTCCATTATTGTTTGAATGGACTGCCCTTCAAATCACCAATTTTCATCAAACCTGTGACATGAACTTTTGGTTTCTACTCCAGGGCTGCTGGGGCTGCACTCCAAATTTATTATTTTCAGTTTGACTGATGCACCTTAACGGGCCAATCTCTTAACTTGTTATTTAACCCTTCAGGATCCAATCTAAGCTTTCTGGTAGTCTTCTGAAGCTCCAACCAAACTTCACTTTTCCTTTATACTCAGCAAAATATCAAATTTCATGCCTTCCTGAGAAAAATGAGGTTAAGAAGCTTGATCTCCCTCTAGATACTGACTCCAACATGAACATTTATCTAGATATGTTTTCTTCCGGCTTGCCACTAATGCCAGAAGGTAACTTTATCCCTACAAACCCTGCTGTTCAGAAATAAGTAACATATCCCCTCTGTCCTGAATTCTGCCTCTTTCTGTAGCTTCGTAAGTCTTTCCAATCAACTGTTCTTTTTCTTTTTTTTTTTTTTTTTTTTTTTTTTTTTTTTTTCAGTTTTCTAGTTCTTCCAGCACTTTTTCCTTGGTTTATGAAAAAAAAAATCTTAATAAAAGCAAATAAATATTTTAAAATTAAAATTTCTCTTTATTTGACATTCTCCTCAACCTATTTCACACTCTCTTCTTTCCATTCTTACCACATGATTTCTCAATCAACTGCAATGTGCCTTCATCCTCATCATCAGAGAAAATATTCTAAAGTCACCAGTGAGCCTTAGATCACTCATTAAAAATTTCTCCTCCTTTAACTTCTGTTTCAGCTACCATACCATTGAACATTTTTTTCAGCCAATTTCACTATCTATTTCTTGGTTTATTTTTTGCTTTACTTTTCACAAAATCTTCTCTGCCTATGCAAGTTCAAGGATTTCATGATTCTTAGAAGCATTTCTATAAAAGAAGCCCTGATTCTTGTCTCTTGATCCAGAATCCACACAGTACTTTGACAGTGTAAGTTGAAATTCACACATACATTCATTTTTTCTGGATATTTTCACCTTTCAATTTCCTGAAATTATTTTAAATTTAACATTTATGAAACTTAGTTTAAGTATTTCAAATATAAAGTGGTGGAAAAAGTTATCTCTCTCCTTTCTAAAATCAATTAAAACAATTTTTAAAAAGGATGACTACACCACTGACAAAATAAGAGAGCAATCATAACTTCTAATTACAATCTCCAAAGACAGGATTGTGAATTTTGGTAAAATTTTTCCTTGATGAAGAGAATCATACACAGATACTAACTCAGAAAGTTACCCCAAAATAGACATCATATCATGAGCTCGATCAGAGTTCCCTTACTTGGAAAGAGTCTGGCTGAGTAGTTATGTTGCTTGCTGTATGTTAGATCTTTGTTTTGTGTTACTAGCTAGAAACATGAGAAACAAAGAGGAATAATTTTAACATAAAGCCGGCTGCTGGAATGATATGGTGGAGACTATGGGACAAAAACTATAATATAAACAACATAGTCACCCCGATCTTGTGAGGAATAAAAATATTAAACAATAACCTGAGCAACATATCAAGTCCTGATTTCCACTAAAAATAAAAAATAAATCAGCCAGGTATGATGATATACACCTATAGTTTCACCTGCTTGGAAGGCTGAGGCACGAGGATTGCTTGAGCCCAGGAGTTGAAGGCTGCAGTCAGCTATGATCATGCTTCTGCACTCCAGCCTAGGTGACACAGAGGACTTTCTCAATTAAAAAAAAAATTAAATGAAAAATAAAAATAATAAATATAATTCTGTGATTTGAATGTCTTCTCCAGAACTCTCACTGAAATTTAATTACCGTTGCACCATTGTTAACAGGTAGCGACTTTAAGAGGTACTTAGGTTATGAAGGCTCTATCTGCATGAATGAATTAATGCTGTTATCATGGAAATTCAGCCCCCATTTTCTTTTTGTCTCTCACATGCTGTCTTGCCATGTGATACCTCTGCTGTGGAAAGACTGTCGCCAGATGTCAGCACCATGCTGTTGGACTTCCCAGCTCCAGAGCTGTGAGCCAAATGCATTTCTATTGTTTATAAATTAGCCAGTTGGTGATATTCTCTTATAGTAAAAGAAAATGGACTAAAACACATGGAAAGACAGAGCTTTACTTAAAGCCAAAAAGGTTTAGAAAAACTAGACTGCTGCAATGGAATACCTAAAACTGATTGTTGTTAGAGTGAAATTTAGAGAGCATGGAGTAAAGCATGTGAGATGTAAAGGGTACTTCACAATCCTGACCCCTTCTTCATTCCATCCTTTAAGGAATATTTAATCCCCCATTCAATGATAAGTCATATCTGGAAGGTGTTCAACATGGATGCATGTAAGGACAAGAAACAGCACTAATAGAACCATGGAAACAAATGGCAGATGAACATGAAAGATATTCATAAAAAATGGGTGAATACTACGAATAAGCTTTACTACAACAAATCAAAGAAATTAAAGAAAACCTGTTAGCTGAAACAAAAGCTGAAACAAGAGACACAAAACCTCAAAGAGGAGAGTCGTTTAAAACAAGAAACAGTAATCTGCCATAAATCAGTAAGAAAATGATTTTAAAAATCAAGGCTATTCTCTACAAGAGGAGAAATACGAACACATTTCACAGATAGCACAATTAAGCACAGGGAGGAGAATATGGTCAAAATAAATGAGTGAACAGCAAGGAGTTAAAACTATATACAACATGCAGATAATTAGTATCCCTGTAAAGTAAAACAATAGAGCAAATCAAGTGGCCAAAACATTCAGTATTTTGAAATTAAAAATAGGAATCTATTGTTTGTAAGTGTTCATTTTCTAGAGGAAGTATTGAATAAAAAATGAATGTCAATGAACATCCGTATAGTTAGTTACTGGTAATGGTAATTAACTACAAAAGTAGCAATCCTACAGGATACCCAGTTGAAAAATCAAGTCATGTATTAAAGAGGGAAAAAGCAAATTTTTCCACTTTCCCTTCAATGCTAAAACAACAGTAAAGCAGTGTCTTCAGAGTCCTCAGTGAAATTCCTGTGACTCAGTGATTTTTATACTCTTCCTAATTGTTACTGGGATTTAAAGGAGATAGAAACTTTCCAAAGGTAGAAATTCAAGAACCTGAGATATGTATAATTAGAAAAATACCTTTGCCCCCTACAAAATGCCCTAAATGAAGGGGACATAAGGTAAAACTTGTAAAAATTCTCATCATTAAATAAAACAAAACAAAAAACTATACCACTGATAATATAAATTCTACAAATCACTTATTTCTCTATTTGCTTTTACAACCATAATTCTTTAAAAGCAGTCTTTATATTCACACTCCAGTTTCTCTCATCATATACTTTAAAAAAAATCCAGACTTATTAGATATAATAAATTACATACTAGAAAATTCATCTATTTTATTTATCTGATTTTTAATAAATTTATAGCATTGTGCAACCATCACCACAATCTAATTTTAGAACATTTCTGCTAACTCTCTGTGACTCTCACTGCTGGTTTACAGTCAATTCTCATTCCCACTTTGTTCCCAGCAACCAATAATCAATTTTATGTCTCTATAAGTTTGTCCTTATTGGTTTTTCTTTAATTTCATGGGTACATCTGTAAGTGTGTTACGTAGGTAAACTTGTGTCTCCTGGGGTTTGTTGTACAGATCATTTCACCACCCAGGTATTAAGCCTAATATCCACTAGTTATTTTTCCTGATCCTTTCTCTTCTCTCACCCTCCACCCTTCAATAGGTTCCAGTGTGTTATTTCCCTCTATGTGTCCCTGAGTTCTAAACTCATCATTTAGTTCACACTTATAAGTGAGAACATGCGGCATTTGGTTTTCTGTTCCTGCTTTAGTTTGCTAAGGATAATGTCCTCCAGCTCCATCCAAGTCCCTACAAAGAGCATGATCTCTTTTTTATGGCTGCATAGTATTCCACGGTGTATGTGTACAACATTTATTTTATCCATTCTATCATTAAAGGGCATTTAGGTTGATTTTATGTCTTTGCTACTGTGAATGTGTTGTAATAAACATGTGTGCATATGTCTTTATAACTGAACAATTTATATATTTTTTGGTATATACTCAGTTATGGATCTTTGGATCAAATGTTATATCTGTCTCAAGGTCTTTGAGGAATTGCCAGAGTGTCTTCTACAATGGTTTAACTAATTTACACTCCCACCAACAGTGTAAAAGCATTCCTTTTTCTCAGCAACTTTCCAGCATCTGTAATTTTTTTTAACTTTTTAGTAATAGCTATTCTGAATGGTGTCAGATAGCATCTCATTGTGGTTTTGATTTGTATTTCTCTAACGATCAGTGATGCTGAGCTTTTTTGTGTGTGTATGATTGTTGGCTACACATATGTCTTCTTTTGAGAAGTGTCCACTCATGTTCTTTGTACACTCTTTAATGGAGTTGTTTGATTTCTAATGTTTTTTTTTTTCTTAAGTTCCTCACAGATGCTGGATATTAGACCTTTGTCAGATGCATAGTTTGCAAAATTTTTTTCCCATTCTGTAGGTTGTCTGTGCACTCTGATGATAGTTTATTTTGCTGTGCAGAAGTTCCTTAGTTTAATTAGATCCCATTTGTCAAATTTTTCTTTTTATTGCAACTGGTTTTGGAGTCTTCCTTATGAAATCTTTGACCGTATCTATTTCCTGAATGGTATTGCCTAGGTTTTTTCTAGGGTTTTTATAGTTTTGAGTTTTAAATTTAAGTCTTTAATCCATTTAATTTTTGTACATGATGTAAGAAATGGACCCAATTTCAATTTTCTACATATGGCTAGCCAGTAATCACAGCATCATTTATTAAACAGGTGTTTTCCCCATTGCTTGTTTTTGTCAGGTTTCTTGAAGACCAAATAGCTGTAGATATGTGGTCTTATTTCTGTGTTCTGTATTCTGTTCCATTGGTCTATGTGTCTGTGCTTGTACCAATACCATGCTGTTTTGGTTACCATAGTCCTGTAGAATAGTTTGATGTCAGGTATTATAATGTCTCCAGCTTTATTCTTTTTGGTTAGAATTGCCTTTATTATTCGAGCTCTTTTTTGGTTCCATATGAATTTTAAAATGATTCTTTCTAGTTCTGTGAAGAATGTCAACGGTAGTTTAAAGGGAATAAATGAATCTGTAGATTGCTTTGGTCAGTATGGACATTTTCACAATATTGATTCTTCCTATCCATAAGCATGGAATGTTTTTCTATTTCTTTATGTCATCTAGGATTTCTTTGAGCAGTGGTTTGTAGTTCTCTTGTAGAAGTCCTTCACTTCCCTTGTTAGCTGTATTCCTAGGTATTTTATTCTTTTTGTCGCAATTGTGAATGGAAACTAACTCATGATTTGGATCTCAGCTTGACTGTGGTTGGTGTATAGGAATGCTAGCAAGTTTTTCATAATGATTTTGTAATTTGAGAATGTGCTGACGTTGCTTATCAGCTTAAGATGCTTTAGGGCTGAGATGATGGGGTTTTCTAGATATAGGATCATGTCAAATAGGCAGTTGACATGATCCTATTTGAATACCCTTTAATTCGTTTCTCTTGTCTTGTTGTCCTGGCAATTAAGACATTCGAGAGAAATTGATGCTGACAAAATTTCACATTAAAGAAACTCTGAGGGATATTTCACAACTTCAAGGCAAAAGGAACCAATGTTTAAAGTAGACTTAGCAATGAGTAAGACAAATTGCCAAACATGATAAAAGCCTTTCTCTATACTATAAATTATACAATGAGAACACTTTCAAATGATTCCTACTTTAGAAACAAACAAATAAATCATTTAAGTCCTCAGTTTCTAATGTTTTAAATTTCAGTGTATTAAACTACCATTTTTTAAACTTTTGTATATATTTATAGTGGAGAGTAAAATAATTTTTAATGTTTGAACAAAACATTTTAAAGCTAATAGGACAATTGCCATTTTTTATTGACCAAGTTTACTTATCACATGTTCAACTTTCAGGATTATTTTATTGTCTCATACTACCATGAAAGGGAGGACTGACTATATTTAAAGTAGGTGATTTTAGAAGATGCTTTAGTGCTTTTTTTTTATCCAGGTAACAGTCTGTGCATATTGTGAAAATACAGCAGTAATTAAGATATAATAAAAATCTACATGAAGAAAAAATTCTATAGATTTTTCTTCTAAAACACAAGACAGAATGATAGAAAGAAAACTTTAATTAAACACATTGCTCTGATTGACTGAACTCTCCAGCAAGATAGTATCATTTTATAAGTTATGATATGAGATAGCACGACCAAGAAACTAAAAAAGACCGTGACTTAAAAAAAATAAAACAAATTATAATTAAATTAAAAGATGTAGATTTGATGATAATCTTAGTGAAAGGCATGACAAATAGATATTCACATGGGGCAGTTCTCAAAAATGATCGTAATTGGAATTCTTTGACGTAGTGAAGTTGGTTTGCTTAGTCTGTTTTTAAATTGTGAGTTCCCTTTATCCATAGGCTATATCAATATTGACAGCTTCCCATGATACCACTATGGCATTTGCTCAACATTTTGCAGATGTGTGAACATAGGTTAAAAGAGAAAAGTCAGGTTTTAATTCCCTAGCTTCTGAAGTTGCACTATCCCCAGTCTACCTTGATGTCATACAATTGTCAAGCTCCAGTTTCTGTTCTCATATCTGTTTGTTCCAGACTTTTTCTTCCTTTCTGAGAATTTCTTATACACTGTGCCTACTCCTTTATAAACCAATTGCCGTGCTAGGCAAACATTTAAAGTGGACTCTGGAATTTCACATCGACTATTTTAAATTTATTTTATTTTTATTTCTGGTTTTAAACACAAATATTAATAACATTACAACCACAAGAATGGATTCTGCCTTTCACCCCATCTTGGGTCTTAGTTCATTCAGGTTGTTGTAACAAAATACCTTAGATTGGATAATTTATAAAAGGATAAATTTATTGCTCACAGGTATAGAGACTGGGAAGATTAAGGTGCCTGCAGATTCAGTGTTTGGTGAGAGCTCTCTGCTTCAGAGACAGAGCCTTCTAGCTGTGTCTTCAACATGGTAAAGGGACAACTAATCTCCTTCAGATCTAAAGGTGCCAATTCCATTCAGAAGGGCTCTATCCTCATAACCTAACCACCTCCCCAAAGCCCCACCTGTTAATCACACCACCTTACAGGATGGGTTTTCACATATGAATTTTGAGGGGACGCCAGCATTCAGACTATAGCACCTCTCCACTCATCTCCAGTTCTTGGAGCCTTAAAGTGATGTGAAGTGAAGAACTGGACTCAAGGAAAGGGATGAATAGTGGAAGAAAAAGGATTAATAGTTTTTTCTAAATTGTCCCTTATTGCACTTTCTTGATTTGGAAATTGTACATTGCATTTTTCTTATTTTAGCAATAACTGTTAATGTTTAATACTGTATTTTTAAAGAAAATTTCTATTTTTGGTATCACTATCATATTGCTACATAAGATATGGATATTCTTTAGTGATGTATTTGCCATTTCCTTCTTGTAATGTTTGTATAAAATTTTAAGTCATATCATTTTTAATAGAAACAACAAAACAAGTAGAATATAAATATATTTTATATGACATTTTACACACTCTATATTTTACAGCAACTGGTTTACATTTACATGGTATTATCTCTCACACCTGCTTCTTGCATTTTACTCTTTTCCTCTGGATTTGCTTTTCTTATTGCCACAATCTTGACTCTCTGCAACCTCTGCCTCCTGGGTTCAAGCAATTTTCTTGCCTCAGCCTCCCAAGTAGCTGGGATTATAGGCATGCACCACCATACCCAGCTAATTTTTGTATTTTTAGTAAAGATGGAGTTTCATCATGTTGACCATGCTGGTTTTGAACTCCTGACCTCAAGTCATCAACCCAATTTGGCCTCCCAAAGTTCTGGGATTATAGGCATGAGCCACCATGCCCAGCTGAGGATTATTTTTACATGCTGCTTATGTGGCACATCATGTGGGTTTAGGGGAAAATTAACTTGCTGCATAAAAGAATGCATTTAAGAATTCCTTAATAAAGATGGTATTTTAAAGGTTCACATAAGTGCACAACAGATTCAATGTATTATAAAGGGTATAATTTTTGAAAAATGAGCAAGCATGAGAAAACCTTGCCACATATTAATATCAAAGTTCAAGAATAAAACAATGTACTCTGGCCAAGATGACTGAATAGGAACAGTTCTGGAGTGCAGTTCCAAGCGAGAACAATGCAGAGGGTGAGTGATCACTGCATTTCTAAACAAGTTTTTACTGCCCACAGACCAGGAGATTCCTGGACTGAAAAGCACCATGAATTTCCAGCATGGCTGCCAGAGCAGCAGGTTTCCACACAAAAACCCACACAAATTTGGGCAGCCATTTCAACTGGCACCTGGAATGCCTGGGAGACAGAGCCACCCACTCATCTGAAAAAGAGGGGGCTGAAACAGGGAGCCAGGTGATCTGGCTTGGGGGGTACCATCCCCACAAAGATCAGCAATCTGAAATGCTCTGGATTCAGAGTTTCGCAGCAAGTGCAGCTGGACATGGTATAGTCCAGCTTGGTGGGGGGAAGGGTGTCTGCCATTACTGAGGCAGTTCACCACTACCGAGGCAGTCCACCATTACAGAGGCAATTAGCCATTACTGAGGCAGTTCGCTGATACCGACGCAGTCGGGCATTTCTGAGGCAGACCACCATTACAGAGGTAGTTCTAACTGTATTCCGTAAACAAATCTACAAGGAAGTTTACACAGCAGCTGGGCAGAGCTGTGGCAGCTCAGAAATGCCTCTGCTGATGGACTGTGAATAGACTACCTCCTTGCTGGTCAGGGAATCTTTGAAAAAAGGCAGCAGCACGTCAGGAACTTATAAATAAAGCCCTACCTTCCCAGGAAAGAGAACCTGGGAAAAGAGGTGGTTATGAGTTCTGCTGCAACAGACTTAAATGTACCTGCCCAGCAGCTCCAAATAGAACAAAGGAGCTCACAGCATAGCACTTGAGCTCCTATATGGGACAGACTGTCTCATCAAACAGCTCCCAAACCCTCAAATACCTCATAAAGGAGAGCTCAGGCTGACATCTGAAGGGTATACTTCAAAGATAGAAGAAGAAATTGGCAGCAATCCTTACTGTTCTGTAGCCCCTGTGGGAGATCCTCAGGCAATCAGGGTCTAGAGTGGACCTCCAGCAGTCCTGCAGCAGAGGGGCCTGACTGTTAAAAAGAAAACTAAAAAACAGAAAGAAACAGCTTCAACATCAACAAAAAGAACCTCTACTCAGAGACCCCATCTGAAAGTCACCAACTACAAAGACCACAGGTAAATAAACCCATGAAGATAGGAAGAAACCAGTGCAAAAATGATGAAAACACCAAAACCCAGAATGCCTCTCCTCCTCCAAGGGATAACAACTCCTCACCAGCAAGGGAACAAAGCTGGATGGAGAATGAGTCTGATGAATTGACAGAAACAGGCTTCAAAAGGTAGGTAATAACAAACTTCTCTGAGCTAAAAGAACATGTGTTAACCCAATGCAAAGAAACTAAGAACCTTGAAAAAAGGTTACATGAAATGCTAAATAGAATAAACAGCTTAGAGAAGAATACAAATGACTTGATGGAGCTGAAAAACACAACACGAGAACCTCGTGAAGCATATACAAGTTTTAATAGCTGAATTGACCAAGGAGAAAAAGGATATCAGAGATAGAAGATCAACTCAATGAAACAAAATGAGAAGGCAAGATGAGAGAAAGAGTGAAAAGAAATGAATGAAGCCTCCAAGAAATATGGGATTATGTGAAAAGACCTAATCTACATTTGATAAGTGTAACTGAATGTGGCGGAGAGAATGAATCCAAGATGGAAAACGCTCTACAGGATATTATCCAGGAAAACTTCCCCAACCTAGCAAGGCAGGCCAATATTCAAGTCCAGGAAAATCAGAGAACACCACAAAGATATTCCACGAGAAGACCAACCCCAAGGCACATAATCATCAGATTTACCAGGGTTGAAATGAAGGAAAAAAATGCTAAGGGCAGCCAGAGAGAAAGTTTGGGTTACCCACAAAGGGAAGCTGAACCGACTCACAGTGGAACTCTCAGCAGAAACCCCACAAGCCAGAAGAGAGTGTGGGCCAATATTCAACATCCTTAAAGAAAAGAACTTTCAACCTAGAATTTCATATCCAGCCAAACTAAGCTTCATACGCGAAGGAGAAAGAAACTACTTTATGGACAAGCAATTGCTGATAGATTTCGTCACCACCAGCCCTGCTTTACAAGAGCTCCTGAAAGAAGCACTAAACATGGAAAGGAACAACCAGTACCAGCCACTCCAAAAACGTACCAAATGGTAAAGACCATCAACACAATGAAGAAACTGCATCAATCAACGGGCAAAACAACCAGCTAGCATCAAAACAGCAGGACCAAATTCACACATAACAATATTAACCTTAAATGTGAATGTGCTAAATGCCCCAATTAAAAGACACAGACTGGTAAACTGGATAAAAAGTCAAGATCCATCTCATATGAAAGGGCACATGTAGGCTCAAAATAAAGGGATGGAGGAAGATTTACCAAGCAAATAGAGAGCAAAGAAAAGTAGGAGCTGCAATTCTAGTCCTTGATAAAATGGACTTTAGACCTACAAAGATCAAAAGAAATAAAGAAGAGAATTACATAACGGTAAAGGGGTCAATACAATAAGAAGAGCTAACAATCATTATATATATATACCCAATACAGGAGCACCCAGATACATAAAGCAAGTCTTAATGACCTACAAAGAAACTTAGACTCCCACACAATAATAGTGGGAGACTTTAACACTCCACCGTCAATATTAGACAGATCAAGGAGACAGAAAATTAACAAGAATATCCAGGACTTGAACTCAGATCTGGACCAAGTAAACCTAATAGATATCTACAGAACCCTCCACCCCATATCCACAGAATATACATTCTTCTCAGCACCACATCACACCTACTCTAAAACTGACCACATATTTGGAAGTAAATCACTCCTCAGTAAATGCAAAAGAACCGATATAATAACAATTAGTCTCTCAGACCACAGTGCAATCAAATTAGAACTCAGGATTAAGGCGGCAACTGAGAACTGTACAACTTCATGGACACTGAACAACTGGCTCCTGAAAGTCAACTGGATAAACAATGAAATGAAGGCAGAAATAAAGATGTTCTTCAAAACCAGTAAGAATGATGAAACAATGTATAAGAATCTTTGGCATATATTTAAAGCAGTGTCTAGAGGGAAGTTTATAGCAATAAATGCCCACATGAGAAGAGAGGAAAGATCTAAAATTGACACCCTGTCATCAAAATGGAAAGAGCTAGAGCAAGATAAAAAAACTCAAAAGCTAGCAGAAGACAAGAAATAACTAAGATCAGAGCAGAACTGAAGGAGAGAGACACAAAAAACCCTTCAAAAAATCAACAAATCCAGGAGCTGGTTTTTTTCTTGAAAGATCAACAAAATAGACAGACCACTAGCCAGATTAACAAAAAAGAAAAGAGAGAAGAATCAAATAGATGCAATAAAAATGATAATGGGGATATCACCACCAATTGCACAGAAATAAAAACTACAATCAGAGATTACTACAAACAACTCGATGCACATAAACCAGTAAACCTGGAAGAAATAGATAAATTCCTGGACACTTGCATCCTCCCAAGCCTAAACCAGGAAGAAGTCAAAACCCAGAATAGATCAATAACCAAGGCTGAAGTTGAGACAGCAATTAATAGCTTACCATCCAAAGGAAAAAAAAAAAAAACCCAGGTGGGTTCACAGCCAAATTCTACCAGACATACAAAGAAGAGCTGGTACTACTCCTTCTGAAACTATTCCAAACAATCAAAAAAGAGGGAATCCTTCCCAAAGCATTTTATGAGACCAACATCATCCTGATATCAAAACCCAGCAAAGACTAAACAAAAAAAGAAAACTTCAGGCCAATATCCACGATGAACATAGATGCAAAAATCTTAAATAAAATACTGGCAAACCAAATGCAACAGCACATCAAAAACCTTATCCATCACAATCAAGTAGGCTTCATCCTGGGGATGCAAGGCTAGTTCAACATACACAAGTCTATAAATGTAATCCACCACATAAACAGAATCAAAGACAAAATCACATGATTATCTCAATAGATGCAGAGAAGGCCTTCGACAAAATTCAAGAGCCTTTAAGCTAAAATCTCTCAATAAACTAAGTATCTAATGGAATGTATCTCAAAATAATAAAAGCTATTTATGGCAAACCCACACCCAATATCACACTGAATGGGCAAAAACTGGAAGCATTCCCTTTAAAAATTAGCACTAGACACGGATGCCTCTCTCACCACTCCTATTCAATATAGTATTGGAAGTTCTAGCCAGAGCAATCAGGCAAGAAAAAGAAATAAATGATATTCAATCTGGAATGGAGGAAATTGAACTGTCTCTTTGCAGATGACATGATGGTGTATTTTGAAGACCCCATTGTCTCAGCCCAAAACCTCCTTAAGCTGATAAGCAACTTCGGCAAAGTCTCAGGATACAAAAATCAGTGCACAGAAATCACAAGCATTCCTGTATACCAATAACAGACTAACAGAGAGCCAAATCATGAGCAAACTCCCATTCACAACTGCTACAAAGAGAATAAAATACCTAGGAATACAACTAACAAAGGATGTAAAGGACCTCTTCAAGGAGAACTACAAACCACTGCTCAATGAAGTAAGAGAGGACACCAACAGACGGAGAAACATTCCATGCTCATGGTTAGGAAGAATCAATACCATGAAAAAAGCCATACTGCCCAAAGTAATTTATACATTCAATGCTATCCCCATCAAGCTACCAATGACCTTCTTCACAGAGCTGGAAAAAACCACCTTAAACTTCATATGGAACCAAAAGAGAGCCCACATAGTCAAGACAATCCTAAGCAAAAAGAACAAAGCTGGAGGCATCATGCTACCTGACTTCAAACTATACTGCAAGGCTACAGTAATCAAAACAGCATGGTACTGGTACCAAAACAGAGACATAGACCAATGCAACAGAACAGAGGCCTTGGAGGCAATGCCACACAAATGTATGGTTTGTCAAAGAACCATATGATCTTTCATAAACCTGATAAAAACATGCAATAGAAAAGGATTCGCTGTTTAATAAATGGTGTTGGGAAAACTGGCTAGTCATGTGCAGAAAGCAGAAACTGGACCCCTTCCTGACACCGTACACTAAGATTAACTCCAGATGGATTAAAGGCTTAAACATAAGACCTAACACCATAAAAACCCTAGAAGAAAACCTAGGCAAAACCATTCAGGACATAGGCGTAGGCAAGTACTTCATGACTAAAACACCAAAAGCATTGGCAACAAAAGCCAAAATAGACAAATGGGATTTAATTAAACTCTAGAGCTTCTGTACAGCAAAAGAAACAATCATTACAGTGAACCAGCAACCAACAGAATGGGAATAAATTTTTGCAATCTACCTATCTGACAAACGGATAATATCCAGAATCTACAAAGAACTAAAATAGATTTACAAGAAAAAAACAAAAAACCCATTCAAAAGTGGGTGAAGGACATGAACAGACACTTTTCAAAAAAAGACATATATGAGGTCAACAAACATGAAAAAATGCTCATCATCGCTGGTCAATAGAGAAATGCAAATCAAAACCACCTTGGGATGCCATCTCATGCCAGTTAGAATGGCAATCTTTAAAATATCAGGAGACAACAGGCGCTGGAAAGGATGTGGAGAAACAGAAATACTTTTACACTATTGGTGGGAGTGTAAATTAGTTTAACCATTGTGGAAGACAGTGTGGTGATTCTTCAAGGACTTTGAGATAGAAATTCCATTTGACCCAGCAATCCCATTACTGGGTTTACACCCAAAGGATTATAAATCATTCTATTATAAAGACACATCCACATGTATGTTCATTGTGGAACTGTTTATAATAGCAAAGACCTGGAACCAACCCAAATACCCATCAGTGATTGACTGGACAGGGAAAATGTGACACATATACACCATGGAATACTATGCAGCCATAAAAAACTATGGGTTTGTGTCCTTTGTAGGGACATGGATGAATTTGGATACCATCATGCTCAGCAAACTGACACAAGAACAGAAAACCAAACACAGCATGTTCTCACTCATAGGCAGCTGTTGAACAATGAGAACACATGGACACAGGGATGAGGAGCATCATACAATGGGGTCTGTTGGGGGGCTAGGGGAGGGGCATCGGGAAGTGGGGAGGTTGAGGAGGGATAATATGGGGAGAAATGCCAGATATAGGTGATGGGGGATGGAGGCAGCAAGCCACATTGCCATGTATGTACCTAGGCAACAATCCTGCGTGATCTGCACATGTACCCCAGAACCTAAAGTACAATTTAAAAAATCAACCATTAAAAAAGAAAAAAAATGTACTCTGTAAAAATAAGTACCACAAAATACAATTCTGACTACTCATTCTATTAGAGTAATTATGAATGAGGTATGAATAAATTATTAATTCATTATTTATTTTATTAATTTTCTTGAAGAACCTACTGTAAGTTAGGGATTGCAAAGTTCCCTGTGAACCTAAAGTTGTGTTTAATAAGTATTTATTGAATCAGTATTGGATAAATGGAAGAACACAGCACATTAATTCATCTCCAAGCTCTTCTGCTCCAGAGAAAAGTGCCAAAATACACTGTCTCTCATCTGAGACTTGAAAGATGAGTATTGAAACACAGTTCAACAGTGGTCTGATTTATAATGGATGGTTCTTGAGGTAATGGCAGACACAGAACACAGAAGGAGAGTGTTCATTTTCTCAGCACTGTAATTGTAAATGCTTTGCTTATTAGTGGAGTGGTCCCTGTGTCATCTAGTATATCAGATGACATTAGAGAGTATGGGCAAATGAGTGGTTACAGGGGAATCTTTAAGCCACACCCTATGGGAGTTCTACCCCTTAGCTCTATTTGACAATTTGGAAGTAGTGGTTCTAGAGCTCTCTCAAATGATGGCAGCTAGAAAGCTCAACAAATCCTCTCAGGCTGTGGGTCATTTGTTCATCTGTTTAATATTGTGTAACTCTTTCAACTAAGTAATTCCCATCAGTATGCCAGTACAGGGAGTCTTGCTCCATAGCCCAGGCATGAGTGCAGTGGCAAATCTTGGCTCACTGCAACTTCCACCTCTTGGGTTCCAATGATTCTCCTGCCTCAGCCTCCTGAGTAACTGAGATTACAGGTGCACACCACTACCCAGCTAATTTTGTATTTTTAGTAGAGATAGGATTTAACCATGTTGAAAGGCTGGTGTCGAATTCCTGAACTCAAGTGATCCACCCATGTTGGCCTCCCAAAGTGCTGGGATTACAGGTGTGAGCCATTGCACCCAGCCATATTTTACTATTTCTAATTCAAGGAAAAATTGTTTAACCCTCCACTTTTCCACTCCATCCTCTACTCGTTATTATTGGTAACTTATTCAAAGAGTTAAGTTGTGTCTTAACTCTTTGAATAAGTTACCAATAATAAGGAGTATTGTTGCATTGGTGCCTTGGTGTCTCTACTTTCTCATTGATCATATCCTACTCCAATCTGGCTGCCAAACTCAGGCGCCCATTTTGCAAAATCTAATGAGCAGTTTTTAGTTCTTATCCTACGAGACACCTCAACAGCATTTGATTCCGTTGCATGCATCCCCTTCCTTCAACTTTTCCCCTCTCTTGGCTCTTACATCACCATCCTCACCATTTTCTTCCTATAATTTGAAATGCTTCACAGTGTGTCTCTCTTTCAAGTTTCTCTTCATATAATCTCTTAGATACTGAATTTCTTTCAAGTATCATCTTTTTTCATTCTATTATTTTCCTACATATCTCAACAGGTATCAGTAGTTCCTAGTTTTACATTTTCAGCCCCGATGAGTTCCAAGCTCATTTAGCCAAATGGCTGCTCAGCAATTAGAGATGGATCTCTCTCAGATAGCTCAGGTTTAATATGCCCAGACTGACATCTTGACATCTTTCTTTCTTGTCTTAATTCACTCAAAACATGGAAAATTTAAGATCCTTTTCCTTCTCCCTTTAACTGTAACCTGTAGATTTTTACGTGATTAAAACACGTTAATATTAGGTAATACTATGTAAGAACTGTATCTTTTGATGATAGCCATATCTTTATAGCACCTCTATAATCACTGTCTTCTAAATCTGCTTAATCAATGAACATGTTTCATAGACAAAAGTTTCTTAATTCCTCAGTGTTGCTAAACCTTCTACCTCTAATAAAATTTCAAAAGTTAATTATTATACATATATTCTAGGAAACTGTTTGATTTAATAGTTGAATTACACAAAAGTCCAATACTATATAATATTGGCTGAAACAGTCATTGAACTTCCTTTTATTCATTTCCTTAGATGTTATTAATGCTCAAATGTAATGACCATTACGTGATATTTGCAAATAGGCACATCCAGATTGTCCATGGCTATTAAATGTCTTTATTACCAATGGCAGCTTAAAAAAAAAAGTTAATTGTTTTTATTTTAATGTACAGTAATACATTTTGAAAATATAAAGGCTCATTGGTTTCCTTCTGAGTTGTTTAATGATGTAAATTGATGTTTTGTCTTTTTATACATAATGTCTTTATTGCAGATTAGTTTACATTTAGTTCAACACACCTCACTTTCCTTGTAAGCAACAGCTTGAATTTTATCTGTTACAGTTTTGTATCTTAAGTTTGAACACCTTGCCTCTTTAATAAAGACAGAAATACAGAAATTTATCCCTTGATATTTCTTTTAGTAGACATTTTACTTACAGAATAATCCATGTTATTGATGAGAGCAGTATCACGGTACTGGTTAAAGAAGCACTGGAAACTCGGCGTACAACTGCAACCACTGGTTAGCTAGACTTTCTTGGTAGTCAAAGTGCAGAATAATAAGTCTCTTTCTTTGATCTTTTCTTAAATTCTGGAACATTAGTGGATGAGTGTAGTTATAAACTGTAGTTACTTAGAAAAGCTTTAACAAGATTCAAATGTTCTCCTTCTTTTACAAAATAATCTGGTTAATAACAGAAGCTTCTGCTTTGCTTTTTTTATGGAGTAAGATAGCCATAATTTCCTGTTGCAGGACTGGTGGCTCTAATTGATTCCACAGGCCATTTGACAGTGTTGCCCTAAAGCTACCCTGGCAGATGTTAACCAGCATTCCAGGAAGTGAGGAGCTGGGTCTGTCTATGTGGGTCATGCTCATGCTACTTGTTGAGAAGTGATTGGCAAATTTTTGTTTCAAAATAAGTTAAGGGAAAGTCTCCTAAACACTGGTGTTCTGATAAGCCTCACAAAATGAGTATGAGTTTTATTTTTGAAAATTACAGTAAATATGAATTTTTAACGGAAATAATTGAAAATATAATTATAGAAAGATATTGTTATAATGTCTGTCACAGGCTATATAACGTGTTTACTCATATTATATAATATATATTTAATATATTATACATAAAATATATATATAGCAACACTATAGTTGAAGCGAAAATGTTCCAGTTATTTTTAAGAGCAAATGAGATACAAAATTTAATGTGCAGTATTTTTAACTTACAAATTATAATGTAATTTTATGTTCTGAAAATAAAACATGGACATTATAATTTGAAATTTATAAATTAAAAAATAACTTGCATTTTCTTAGAAATAAAGTTCATTAATGTGTTGGAATAGTTTCAGCCAGGCATTATTTTTCAAATTATAAAGTATTTACTATTTAATTAAGATTATAGTCCATGTACATGTTTTGTTGCATTGTAAATTTCATCTTATGCTATGAACATTTTTTCCATGTCTCTAGTCTTAGATAAAACATATTAATTGACTGCCTATCATGCCACTATTGTTACTGACTTAATGTTCTTCTATTTTACATAGATTATTTGGAACTTAAATATGGTAACCAGATCTTCAATAAAATTGTTTTTATATATAAATTGGTATACATATCACCAATACTTTTTCTAGGAAAGAATCTTAAAGGTGGAATTCTTACAGTATGTAACCTAGGATTCAGAAAATTAGTGTTAGTATACATTTTAACCTGCAAGACAAGGCTTTCCTGTTTTACTGCAGTTGGTGGTATAATCATTTAAAAATGATATTCACCAGTTTTATAAATGGTCTATACTATCTACTTGCATTTTATGTTCTTTTGATTACTAGTGAGGTGCCTCG